TTCCAATCTTGTTGCTAAAAGTATTTTTATTTAAATACAAAGAATGAAATGAATTTGGCAGTACCCTTCTTATCGAATGTTATCAAAATTCAGATCTTACTTAATTAATATAGATTAGTATTTCTTTGACATAATTAGAAGGATTTTTGTTTAGCTACATTCGGTGAACATAGCTGTACCTTAAATTCAGCTTAGTTTTTCATATTGCTAAGTGCAACTTTGCCATCTTTTTTGTACAATTCCGGATTAGGCGGGATATACCACCTAAAGATAGCATTTTTTGATGTAATTACAAGGATTTTCACTGCCTCTCTATTCTCTTTCTCCCTAATTTCATTGAATATAGCTGCCGTATATGCATTCTTAAACCCATCTATCAACTCTTTAGCTTTTTTCATATTGTCAAGTACAACTTTGCTATCTTTTTGTACAATTCTTGATTAGGCGAGATAAACACGCAAAGAAATGATCATCAAATATTTTATTGGTTTACGTAAAAAATGTTTGTAAAATGTTTACCATGATCACGCATTTGTATAAATACGCACATTTGTTGATCGATGATCTAGAAACAAAAATATTTAAATAGATCTAAATTCGGTAAGCAGCAAAATAAGTAATAAATATTAAATGAATGCATCAGAGATTTCTCATCGTTTTGTTAGTTTTTTAACAGGTAAATATTTATTTTTGTTTGTTTCGAGTAATATATTTATGCTAATATGTTTGAAGTATGTCTACCATTGCAGGGGTTGTGAGTTTTCTCGACCAGGAAAAGTTTAGAAACACACAAGGATTTCAAGATGTTTCGTTTTTGATTAAGGTTGAAAAAAGCGAGGATGAAGAAAAGACTGCGGAACTATGTTTTCTTGATGGCGATACGGTTACAGAAATTCAAGTTCCTAATGATATCGAAGTTGAAGAAATTAACGAATTAGATCAGAAAAAGATTAAAAACCCTTTCGTAATTCAAATATTTTTTTGATTAATCACCCCAAAAAATATAATATTTTATTAAAAAAAAAGAAAATTTATGCTTTGATTTCTGAACAAAAGAGATATACTATTCATAATTTCAACAAACCTGATACCCTCAAACAATACGAATTGGAAAAACGTATTAACAAGGCTTTAAATGTAATTATTAACCTTGATGATTAACATTTTTATAAATTTTAATAAAATTATATAGTTTAACTACACGTATTTTCAAAAAAAAAAAAAACTTAAAAAAAATGTAATTTTAAATTTATTTAAATAATAATTTAAGACACAAACAATTATTTTTTAAAACAAATGATACACGTTAGCCTGCAATTTTTAATGGAAATTGCAAACGATGTTAATAATTGCGTTAAAGAATTTCAACTTAAAACCATAGAATATGAAAAAGTAATTGAGCGGATTTCTTTTGATTGAGCATACAATCATGTATGTCATCATATAAAGTAGAGCTTAAAACGTTATTTTTTCTTTGACGTAATTATGAAGGTTTTTGTTTAGCAAAACTTTATAAATAAATATATATATATACCATATAACCCTGGTAAGTTTGTTTAAAATGCCAAATTTAAAAGCAAAGAAAGGACACTTGTATCAACATCATCCGTATTTATCAAAATTTTATAAATTTAATAAGGAAATGTCTAAAGATGGAACTTTTTCAATGAGCAAGACACAACAGATGGGCCGTCGTGTGTTTGAGCTTGTAAATGAGAATAAATATATTGTAATTGAAAAAAGGGATGCAAATGTTTTGTTAATTTTTTTGAACAAGAAGGAACAAATTATCAATATCCCAAAAAAATATAGAGTGAGAGATGTACGTGCCCAGGATATGTATAAATCACATGAATTTGATAGAATTCCTTGTTTTATTTTATCAAATAATTTAAATGATTTTCAATTATGTGTCAAAAATCAAGAAACAAAAGAATGGGAAGCGATCTTTTGGTTTGATAAGATGGACACCTTTTCTGTAAACCATAGTTCTGAGATTGTGGGTATTAATCGTAATGAGCATCTCGAGTTGTATTCGAGAATTAATGATAGTATTCAAAAAACGATTATTGATGTAGAGACCCAAGAGTCACAAGATAAAATGTAATATTCAAAAGATTAGTGTTTTTTTTCGCTTTATTATTTATCCAATAAATTCAATTATTCTTTTTGGGCTAAAATTATTAAAAATAAATGATTTTTACTAATTTGTTTTAAGTTATTAAAATGATAGTGAAGGGTGTAAGTTTTTATTATCATCGTGAAGCGTAGCGCTAATTAAATAAGCGGAGCGACGCTTTTCCAATGTTACAGTTTATTTATTTTAATTATTTTTAAATTATTTCATTTATTTTAAATTATTTTTTTATTTTATAACCCACTTTATCTTATAAAAGAATTTTAATTACAATAATTCAAAAGAAAAGAGTATGTATATATTTTATTTTTTAATTGTCTTTATTTATATTATATCAAACATGTATTAATACTAATCTTAACTATACTATTTAAAAACTCAAACTCAACTAATAAATCTTAATACTAATCTTGTATTACAAACTAACCTTTACTCTAATCTTATATAACTATCTAACTCTATTTCTTATCTAATATTAACACTAACTCTTGTAAAATATTAAAACAAAATGACAAAACAACAAAATGATAAAATAAAGACACTAGAAAAAAAGAAAAAGAAAATACTACAAATAAAACAGTAATATAAAAAAATTAAAGATATGACAAAACAAGACAACTACACCTTATCTATAGCAAGTAAAAACACAACAACAATAAATTAAGAATAAAACTGAGAATAGCAAAAAGAGGTGACAACACCAATGACAAACAAAAATATTAAAAAAAAAGATAAAAAAAAATTTAGATACAGTATATATACTATATTTATTTTTTTTTTATATTAATCCATGTTGATGTAATCTAATCTGAACCAAAGATTGATTAATTATGTAATCCGAAAAATCTCACTTACATCTTGTATCTGTTAACTAATATTAGCAGCACAGAAGGTAGTTTTGCAATCAAGAGGTTGGAAACATATAAAAACTTCTGGGCAAATACAAAAGATAAGAAAAAAAAGGTCTGGTCTAAGTATTTTAATTAAAAAATACTAAAAACAACACATTACACAACTTATTTGAAATAATCTATATTACATAAAACTCTTGCTTGACTTCAAAACCTTACAATAGTAATTGTTTATTTGTACATTGCTTCTTGCAATAAAGTAAGGCAGGAGGAGATATTAAGCATGCTTAAAGATACTATAAGCAGTTCAAATTACAAATTATATCACTATATAATTTTTAATAATTTAAATATTAATAAAACACTCAGTCAGAAGATGACAACAATACAGTTAATAGTAAAACTAATATAAAGAAACAAATTTTTGTTTTATTAAAAAAAAAGAATATGGTTGTTGTATATAATAGTATACAATTACTTACATGATCAAATAGTACTGTTAAAACAAAAATTAATTATATATAGATATTTAGTAGATGGAAATACAATATAGTTAATGCCAAAGCCAATAATATAGATGTTTGTATAAGAAGTAATCACAAGCTAGTAAGAGCAAATATAGCTACAGAGCTTGAGCTAAGAAGAGCCAATATAGCAAAAATAAGATATAAAAAATATAAAAAAGTTAGCATTAACTTAAATAAAGTATCAAAAGAGAACTAGAGCTGCTATAAGAAAAACTTAGAGAGAAGATTTAAAAGCTATCAACAAAAAAAAAAATTAGCAAACCTTATTAAACAATAAGAAATTATAGAGAAAGGTATAATAGCAACCATTAATAAAAGCTTTTTAAAAAGAAAAAAAATACTGGAAATTATTTAAATTAGCAAAGAAAACAGAGAAGTAAGAGCATTAAGACTAGCAGTTAAAGTATACAATAGAGAGTACAGAAAGATTCAAAAACAAATACTTTATAAAAGTAAGATGATCCAAATTTTAAATACTCTGAAGCAAGTCAAAATATCAGAAAGCCCAAATATTAAACAAAGAACAAAGTAGCTAGACAAAAAAGGGCTAAAAAATTGAGCAAAAATCCTGCATAAAGAATAGTAACAAAAAATTAAAAAAATAAAGGAGACAAAAATCAGAAATAATATTGAAGAAAGACATAGTCTAATCATGTTTAATTAGCGAAAAATGCTAAACAGCTTTCTCAATCGACTATTTAAACAAATCAAAATAAATAGAGTCATTAAAATAGCAAATGACTAAGCTAAACTATTGTAAGAGCTAAATGATATTCTTCACAAAGTTAAAGAATACTTTAAAAAGTAGTTTTGGCAAAAAAACATAGTATAGGTAAAAGCAATACTAGCAAAGTGAAGAAACCAGTACTTATCTAAAAAAAATATAGAAGAGTATTGGTACAAAGATACTACAAATAATATAACTTTCACAGAATGGGAACAAGCTCTCAACTAAGTAAAAACAAAATCAGCTCCAAGTATATTTAGCATTATATATCCTCTCATCAAGAATGTAAGCATATATACAAGAAAATCTTTTATTAACCTGGTCTCGAAGTATATTCAAGAAGGCAGCATACTAATAAAATAAAAACTGAGCATACTATATTTAATCCCAAAAACAGAAGATTGGTACTATAAATTAAACAATATTCAGCCAATCTTTTTTCTCAAGTTATTTCAGAAAATAGTTATCAGAGTAGTAACAAACAGACTAAAAAAGATTCTAAAAGAAAAAAATATTCTAAAAGGCAGAAACTTTGTAGACCTTCTAAAAGAAAATATAGCAATACTAATACATCTTCTAAACTGTTTTATAGAAGAAGCAAAAGAGAAGAAAAAGGAACTATGGCTTATGTTTCAAGATATAAAAAAGGTATACAATTCGGTCAGACTCGAAATATTAAATTTAGCACTACAAAGAATTAAAATCCCAAAAACCCTAGTATGCTTCATCATTAACTTTTTTAAAAACTAAGGACAGAGATTCTAACAGGTCTTGATACAACTAAAAAGTTTATCACAAAAGATGAGATCAATCAAAAAGAAGTAATTATACTACTAGTCTGAAAAATCTTCTATGATCTGCTGCTAACAAAGATACAAAAACACAAAGAGAGAAAATATAAACTTGAAACTAATTGGCCAACAGATTTTAGCAAAAACATTACTCACAAACAATGACTAACTATTCTTGTAATTGTTTATGCTAATGACACTACATTTATTGCAAGTAGAAAAGAAGAGCTCAAGAACATTATCACTCTAGCAAGTAAATTCTACAAAATCAATGATATCAAGATTAACAACAAAAAGTCAGAGCTTTTAATAATAGTTAGGAGAAAAAAAAAAAGTTATAATATATCAAAGTTAACAATACTAAGGAAAAAGTGTTTGAAAAGAAACCAAATGAAGAAACAAGATTCCTTGGCATATAATTATTCAAGAAAAATAATTACTCACATATAATTGAAAGAATCAGAGAAATCAAGTTTATATATTATCTAAGCAATCTACAAGAAAAACACAACACTTGCATAGCTAGTCTATATAAACATTAGAGTTCTGATTTCAAGACTAGAATATAGAATGCAATATTATATTTTATTAAAGAACTAGTGTAATAGGCTTCAAAGCTCAATTCTAAAATTAGTTAAAAACAAGTCTGAAATGGCAATTACAATAGCCAATACAACAATAGTATACAGAAATATTGTAGGGATAGATCAATCTAGCAAAATCAAATAGCTCATTATATCACAGAATTAATAAAAAAAATAGATAGCAATAATAAAATTGGTAAAGCCATGTGGATTAGATTATAACAAGTGTAGCTCAACTATAAAAGCATCTTTTGTATGTTGGGTCTTAACTTTGAATACCTTAAAAAAATATATCTTAAGTATAATTTAGTATATAATATCATAGTAGTAGCCAAAGAGCTAAAACTTAGTATTCAATCTAAGAAAAAAAGATAGTCTCAAACTTCTTGCTTCAGAACAAATAATTACAGACCTTCTAAAGAAATGAAAAATACAAAGCTTCTTATAAGAAAAAAAAATATGCCTCTTTGTTTTCAAACAAATCTTAAAAGTGAATAGCAAAAATCTCCTCATATGGAGTCAAGTTAAAAAGTATAAAAGGCAAAAAACAACTAGCAAGAAACTACTATAAATTAAAGAAATTGAGAAAAAATGCCTGTAACATTTAGAAGCTAGACAAATTAAAGAGCTACTAAGAAGAGAATCACCCAATTATCTATCTTCTCATATAAGTATTTCTATAATAAGTTACAATATGTAAAAAAGAGAATGAGTATTAAACAAGATGAAAAGCAGTACCAAGGTAGAGAAAATAGTTAAAAAAAAGAGAAAAAAAGATAGTTATAACAGAACACTAGATATCTACCTCCAACCTAAAAGAAGATGATAGCATATTTACAAGATGCAAAAGATGTAGCCAAGATACAACAAAAGAGTCAATAATAGAAGTTGCATATAGTAAAAAAACTTAAAAATGAAATCTTATAATAATTAACCCCAAACTAATAAGAAGAAGAAACTTGCAAGAGACAGTATAGACCCTCACTATCCCAACAAGCTGTTTTACAAACACAAACTATATCAATATAAGTAATAAAAATAACTTAATTGATAATCCGCCTTGTAGAGCTCGTTCTTGCGGTTCTAATGGTGGTTAAATCATCCAAATCGGCCTAGTGAATGCCGAGATATCTTTAAAAAACGCGTCAACGACTATATAAAATCTCTATGTAAACAATATATTGTTTACATAGAGATTTTATATAGTCGTTGACGCGTTTTTTAAAGATATCTCGGCATTCACTAGGCCGATTTGGATGATTTAACCACCATTAGAACCGCAAGGACGAGCTCTACAACTTTTAATTAATTTATAAAATCGATTAACTTAGTACAAAAAATATTTTCTTTGGACGAACAGTAGAAATTTTTCAGATTCACACTATATTGGATTTACATATTGATTTGCATCACATTACACTATGTTTATTCTTCTGTTGACTGGCGGATTATCAATTAAAGTATATAAATAAGTTACATGGAAAATTAAT